GAAAAGCAGTGACAATAACAAGGGGAAATTGAATAAAGATAATCCCAGCCATAGATGCCAAACTGCAAAACAAAATTCTTATCTTGACGAAAATCAAAATACAGAATGTCTCATTAAAATAGGAACAACTCTTGAAAAAGGTAACAATACAAACCAAAAAAATGTGGACTATATCATTTCATTGTTTCATGAACTGGTGTCTAATGGTCCTGTATATGTCTGTAGCTGTTGTGATCAGTTATGGTATAAACACAGTGTTTCTCTTGCTAATAAAATAAGAAAGGAATATCCTTCATTAGCTGAAAAATATTTATCTAATCGAAAAAGTGTGAAAATATGGAGTGGTTGTGTAGAACATGCCATAATTATTAAGTAAAAAATAAAGTTCTCCCTTCTGCTGTTTTGAATGGAATGCAATTTGCAACGAAACCAGACTTTTTTGTCTTGAATGAATTGGAAAGCAGACTTTTAGATCCAAGACTTGCTTTTTTAAAATTAATCCAGGCACCAAGAGGTAGACAATTCAAAATACATGGAAATGTTGTAAATGTACCAGCAGAAGTGTCTGAGACTATGAATATGTTACCAAGGTTACCATCAGAAACAGGTACAATGAACTTAAAGGTAAATTTAAAAAGAAGATTGCAATACAAAAGTTCAGCATTGTCCCTTAACATAAGACCTCATAAAGTTGTCCAAGCAGCAAACTGGCTTGTCACTAACAGTGCCCTGTATAGACAAGAAGGAATAACAGTTAATCAAGCCTGGGGAGAATAATGCACATCAAACTTTCTATCTGATGACAGAAATATTGAAAATGAAACTGAAGAACCGCAAAATATTCACAACAGTACTAGTAATACCACAAATAATACATCTACTTCCACTACTGATACCATTTATTTCTCTTCGCTCTCCAGGTAGACATACCTCAGTTGTAATAGGACTTGAACGACAATGGACAACCTAACAGGATACATTCATAACGTATCCCCTGTTAAGCACTACAACAAGATTCGCTATTTTGACATGCTTATTCAAACAGAAGCGACCAAAGTACGTGGAGTCTGTTTCTCTTCAAGCAAACATCTCGACTTTCAAAGGTGCAACAAACAAAAGTCCCCAGTACAGATTAGCAACTTCACTATTAAAAATGGCAGTGTTCTCATGAATGCAAGAGTCCAAATGGAGGAACTGAAGGAGGTCTGACTTTTCTACGAGAAGAGATTCCCTCGACTCTAAACATCTCGATGCTCACGAATGTCACCAATAACCAACTTATTAATCTCAAAGCCAAAGTGGTCCACTTATCTGGAGTGAAGAAAATAATCTCAAGAGATGACACAAAGTCGGAAGCTGATTGTTGCCTCCTAGATCCATCTGGATCAATCAAACTAACTCTGTGGGAGGACCTGATTACAGAAGTTGCAGACGACAACACATATAACTTCTGTAACCTTAAAGTGAGGAAGGATAATGATAACTACTCTATTTACCAAACTACACCAAAGCATGACTCTTCCATTTCACCAGCTGATCCCTTCCAAGAGGAAGCAGCTTCACCAGGTGATTTGCCAGACTACTTCACCTAAACATCAACAAATGCTGAAGTCCTTGGTGTTCAAAATTTCATGTGCTATCGCCAATGTTGCAAATGTAACAAAAAGCTTCCAGCAACACCAGGGAATGTAGTAAAGTGTGAAACATGTGGCCTCAGGCAGAAAGTGACTGCTTGCAGCAGTCAATACCACTTGCAAGCATTGCTGAGACATGATGACATTAACACCACTGTAACATTTTTTAATGATACCTTGCTCAGTGCCTTACAGTTGTTTAAAGTTGACACTAAACAGTCATTAAGCGAAGATGTTGTTGTTGAAGCATTGCTAAATACACAAATGCCCTTTGTTACCTTTGATAAGAAAACTAAAGTTGTGGCTGCAGTCAGTGTTGCAGAGAACTAAACTGCAGCAAGAACCAAAATAATGGTAAAGATCAGAAAGCATCCACTCTATATTACCATTTAACAGGACACCAAAGCCATTGTTGTATCTTTTGCTAAAGACGAAAATGTTCATGTTATTATTACTGGGACAATGTTCTGTTATAGCATTCCCCTTCTCCCAAGTGACTTTTTGTGTTTAAAAGTATTTAGATATTATATATTTTATTGAGTTTGTACATTCAATTGAAAACTGCAACTGAAGTACATTTATGAACAGTATTTTTAATGCTTTACATTGAGAAGAGAAAGTTCCAACAGGAACTCAAGGCTTTTAATGCAGATTACTGATGTTGCCACATATAATTTTCAATTACGACAGTAACCCTTCTAAGTTGAAACCTTCAATAACTATCAAGTAGTAGAGCTGATCGCATTTCTTCATACTCTCCGGTTGTTAAACTTTCTATTTATTTTTTATATTACAGTTATATGTTCAATAAATTTTCTGATGTAAAAGAAAAAAATCACAATTCCTAACTTGAATCATGTTTTGTT